AGAAAGAGAGAAAGAGAGAAAGAGAGACTAATCGCTTATTTAAAAAAACCGTGTAAGTTTGACTTTAAGAATTTAGAAATTTTAATTAAATTAATGCGGCAATTTTCAACAAAAATATTACACATAATATTGTAAATTACATTTTGTATAAATATGATAATAACATCAAATATAATAACATTGTAAATTTAAATAATAATTTCTAATATTAAATTAAATATTATGTGTAACTATTTGTCCCCAAATTTATTCAGCTTTGCGATTTATTATTTTCTAAGAAAATTAAATTACGTCAATTAGGAAAAAATTGTGTAAAATATTAATAGAGCATGTTCCTAATAAAATTATGCATACGACTACATTATACATGTTATCTAATATAATTACTAACACTATATTAAGTCTTGCATCGATTTTAATTTCTCAAATCTTAGAAACTTACTTATTGTATTGCATCTTAAATAATTAATTAGTCTTCCTCACGCACTCAGTGTTCATGTGAAATCATGTTAAACTTTGAGGCGTGAAGGGGTGAAAGACACCGTGGGGTCGGACAATCCGACCCAGTAGCAGCTGCTTGCCTGCGACATCCGAGGTCGTGGCACCTACGTGACGGTACCTATCTACCCACCTCGCAAGGTGCGTGGAGGTGTCCGTGAGGTAGCGCGCGCTCCCCCGCACCTGCGGCCACGCTTGCGCGCCGGACCACGCAGCCGAGGGTGGTGGTGTACCAGGGGAGAGGGTACGAGGTAGCCCGCTACGGCCGGGTCGACGCCGACGACTGTCAGAACGGCGTCGCGACGCGAGCCTTCCGCGTCCGTCGGTCTTATCCAGCGCGCGCTATCCATCCGGTTCAGGTGTGCACGGCTCGAAAAGATACCGGAAGGACCAGGGAGAAATTCGCACCTGTTACATCCGAGAAGAATACTCGCGACAGACGGCTGTCACCGCGGGGAAGTACACGGAGGGACGTCGCGACGCCGAAGTCGTCACGACGGCGTAACAGGTACGCGTTATCATTTATTCTTTTTTTCCATGTCGTAATCCTCGGATTTCTCGGAAATCTGGGCGCGGATGAGCTCCGAACGATCCGTTGTTGTAAGACAAACTTGTCGCAACGCGTATCCCGTTCGGATAATTCGCGAAGTGACGCGTTTTCCCGCGACAGAAAAATACGCTCTGCGGTGGATTTCCTGTTGCGTTGAATTACGTCGCACAACGTTTTGCGCTTTATCGCACATCGGTGTTATATCATTGTGATAATCGGCGGCAATCGCACGTAATCGATCGGCTTGATTAACCACGGCGTTCAATGAGTTCGTAACTTTCATGCCTCGTTAAATTGCTTGGTGAAAGTTACGTAAAGCTCGCATTATCTCCATCCGCAACATAATGGTTGACAGTTTTATTTTCCTCTGATCATGAATGATCATAAAAAAGTCAAAAGTCATTGATGGTTACATATAACAAAAGAAATTTCAAATATTCAATAATATATTAATTTTATTAATTATTAAAAATGACGTGCAATCAGTACAAATATAAACTAATTTCCAATTTCTGTTTTTAAATTTTTTAGCTTCAAATTGTTATATTGATCAAAACCTATTTATTTATAAATATAAAATTATTGTATTGTTAATAAAGTTATTCAAAAAACAACAGCTATAAATTTTAATATTGAAAAATAAGAGAATTTTAATTTTAATTTTAATTAGTGAAAGGATATTTTATTGTAGTCGTTTTAATTAATATTAAAATATGATTACAACACAAAAACAAAAGAATTTCATATATCAATTTTTAACTGCCGCTAAATAAAGTCATTAATTATTTCACGACAGGAATAAAACTGTCATTCGAGAGAAAACACGTAATTCCCATAAAATCGTCCGCGCGTAAGACAATCGAACATGTACGCCGTATTTAACTTTGTACTACTGAAAAGTAAATAACTCATCGACCTCGCTAAATCAATTCAGTCTTCGGACGAATCGGAAATAAAATTGTTCAAATATCAGTTAAGTACCACCTCCAACAATATTTGTGGAAATTCACGACATCGTGACGAGTTTGCTACTTGACGTGATTTAAAGGCATAAAACGTATTATAGAATTTATTCGAAGAGAACATAATGAATCGAATCTGATGAATTCTACGAACATCTTTGCATTCATTGAACTACCTGAATTTTTCGATATTCATGAAGTACGACTTGCATTAAAATAGTACTACTTTGCGCTTGAGACACCCCGAAGACAATCCATAATTATGTAAATTTGAAGAAACAAGTATTAGTTGGTAAAATTTTAATTTTATTTTGCATATAATATAGATGAGAAATAGAATCTGTATTATAATATTAATAAACGATGACACCATTTTCTTTGAAAATCCCTCGCTTTCAAAGGAAATTGAATTTTTCATCACAAATATTTGGCAGCGTGCCAATATTCGTGACTGTCACACACATATTGTAAAATATCCCTGAACCGCTGAGGTTAATCTCTATGACAGATTCCCGGAAAAATTCAAAGTTGATTTTTAAAAAAAAATTCCAATCTCGTATCACATATTTTACAAGTTTTACAAGTGTCTCTGCAATAAAATCTCGAATTTTTGTACATTTTAAAGAAATTAAAAATTTAATTGGCAAAAAAATATTATTTTGTAATATAATTCAAAGCTCTCAGTGTCTGATTTTAATGAAAAAAAAAACTTCAAAAACAAAATGATCAACAAATCACTAAAATTAAGATTGATTTCCGCATTACCCGCTCCGTGATAGTTGCTTATGCATGTAACCAACTGATTTAATGTGGAATCGTGATAATCATTTATATGATGCGTTTTATGGTCGATGCGAGATGATGAAAGAAAGAGCAAATTCATAAGCTCACTGATAAGCTACGAAGAAATATTGACTATGCTCGTGACGTGCGCATAATCGTAGCTTTCTAGCCGGCTCTAACAAAGGCATGGAATAGCTCTCTAAAAACGCGTTTCTACGGAGTATCAGACCTCGAGAGGACACGTTCCACATCTTTTTATGAGAGCCTTTCGTGAGCGACCTCGAAGAGCGAAACGCGAGCACTCGCGCATTTTCTCCCGACGATCATTCAACGGCGCCGACGAGCGTTGCATTCGATGCGAGAGCACTTGCGTAATAATGATAGTTATTCATGCGGCGATAATTCATATTTGAACAAGAGTTAATTCCCGATCGACTTGGGAAGAGAGCATTCAGATTATCCAATTTCGCGACACGAAAACAACAATTTGCGATATATTATATAATAATAATAATAATAATAATAATAATAATAATAATAATAATAATAATAATAATAATAATAATAATAATAATAATAATAATAGTAATAATAAAGCAAAAATTTCTAAATTAACAAATAAATGAAAATGAGAAATGAAAAATATGAATTATCACCTAAATTAATTCATTATTATAAGTAAATAAACCGCGATGTAATTTATTAATATTTTTATATGCAGAGCGAGCAAACAGGCGGTCTTTATAGTTAAATGAAAAATATGTTTACTTTGCTAATCGATTCCAATCTGGTTTCGCAATTATGACGAGATCGTGCGAATAAATATTTTAACATGCGCGAAGTAATATAAGACTTATCTTCAGTGTGTACGATCACCGTGAGATTAAATGTGTTATTAAAATTAAATAAACTTTAAATATTTTCTTTAATTTAATTTAAATAAACTTTAATTAAATACATGTTTGCGGTGACGATAAGAACGTTGTTGAAAATGCCTAACGTCATTTCTTATTTTGCGTACAGACATCGCTGTACAATGTTACTTGAAACAAAGCAATATTGCATTGCTATTATCATATGAAAAATGATCTCGAGACAGATTATTGTTATAAAAAAGAACGATGTCACCTCGCGAGAGAACTTGGCGCGAGAAAGATTACTACCGATCGAACACGGCAGTTGCCCGGACGAAACTTTCCACGGATAAAGAGCCCTATTTTCCACTGAAACATACAGATCCATTCATCATTGTTATCCGTCACTCGGATAAAACTTCGCTCATCTACGCTACTTGTATTTGTCGCAAACTTTACGCTGAAATTCGCAAGATCGGGATTCTCTTGAGAAGCTGCTGGCTGTTCCGCATAAAAAACATAACCGTTTCCGCCCCCCCCTGAATTGAAGGCCGCGACTACCGATGACGAAACGCCGTGCGCGCGAAGAAGTTGCCGCGTTTTGAAAGTGCCATAAATCGATTACGCGGTAACAATATTAAAAAGCTATTCATGAAGTTTTGCCGCTGCGCGCTACAGCCATGTTAATATTTTCACTCTCCACAAAGGTCGTATATTCGTATGAATATTGATAATACAGCTCGAGTGAGCGCGCGTGCAAGCGGTTATTAACGTTCAAGATAGAGAGAGAAAGAGTCTCGCAACTCTCAATATTTATGGTAATCATAATTGCGAGCGCTATCCAACGAGTAAATTCTCCTTGTGCGTTGAATCATGGACACCTTACGGCAAAACCGTATAGATTAAATGGGCCGCAGCTCTGCAGGCATCGCCCGCATAAATATGTTTCGTTAACAGCCACGGGGCCGGGTCAGTGATGCAAATAATTTTCTCTATTTTGCGAAACAAAAGGAATGTTTATGAAAGCATCTCGCGTGAGACTTAAACTTTATCGCAGCTGTTTCTACAGAATGAAATTTTATACACAATTATTATGCATAAGCTCTGATATAAAACAGATTTCTTTCATCTTTATTAACTATTTATGTTTTAAAATTATAGTAAATACTTTTAACGACAATCGTTATTGTAAAAAAAATATAGAGATGCGTTTAGAAAGAATTTCCTTCCAAATTGCGAACACTTTTTTTACATTTTTAAAAGTTTCAATAGAACAGATCAATGCATAGTCAGCCAATAACGCATTCAATTACACGCAGTTTATCTATTTTTCTTATATTATTTTAAAGCACAATTTCAAATTTACTATTTTTCTGGCGCAGTATATTGTATATCTAAACCTCTCTCTCTCTCTCTCTCTCTCTCTCTCTCTCTCTCTCTGCTTTATACTAACATCCCTTATCCATATATGTATGTCGATTTTTGTTAGTTTAGATTGCTCAGATACCTGATCGCAGATGTCTATATTGCATATCATCGTCAAGCGAATTGTTGTCACGCGAAGTCTGCTAACGTGTGACAGCTGCATATCGAATTCTTGTTTCGAGTATTCAACAAGTACCCTGCGACCTGCGACACGATTGAGTGAATCGAATCGACGCATCATTCGATGCACTCCGAAAATTCCGAGTGGCGTATCGAATTGCGTCCTTAGCACCAACACGCGCGCGAGCATGCCAAGCATTCCGCAACTTAATTGATCCTGCAGCTCTCGATTGGCATGTATCGTTGATAGAGATCTAATGTGATAAATAAATCTCGTAAACGAGAATTAATTTCAAGCGCTACAATGCAATAAATTAAAAAAAAATTCTGAAAATCGATTTTCTTTAATTTCAAAAAATTAATCCTTTGAATTCCACGCGCGCGTAAATAAGATAATATTAATTATTTTGTTCTTATTTTAATGCTCTTAGGTTAAGCTAAATGTAATAATCAATTCTCGTTACTTAAGAAGTTTTACGAAAATTAGAAAAGCATAGCTAATTGTATTAATTAAAGTACGTTGCTTCAACTATTTGGAGAACTATGTGTAGAATTGTTGTAAAGCACGAGTCTATCGCGACACGAGACTGCAAAAAGTTAAATCAGTTAAAAGTAGAAACGATAAATTAATAAAATTAAAGAGAGAAGGCTCAAATTATATTTAATTTTATGGTAACATTGTGCTAATTTTTATTCTCTCGATAAAAAAGATAGAGATAAAAAATGACACTATTATCCCGTACTCGAACCACGAACATATGTCTTCGATACATGTTTGATGATAATAAAGATTGATAATATATGAGGTCATCGT